GAAAGCATGAAGAAGTATGAATGAAGGTATTCTACGTCAAATGTTGATGTAATCATCTGTATCTATAAAATTTTAAAAATGTTAATATTTAAAAAAAAGACTACAAAATATTTCCTATATTATAAATTTAAATAAAAACCAAAACATCTGTTTATAAAAATGGATACCTATTCCATTGTTTAATTGAAGCCTATTTTGAATACTATAATATGTTTATCGTCACATGACCCCATCCTATTCACAATATTTAATCTAATCCTCCTATATTGTGTTAGTCAAGTGTTTGGAACAAATGAGTTTTAATGTTCCATTATACTCCAAATGACAAGTGAGTTTTTCATTCATTGTTATAAGTAGGTGTGCGAACGTATGATCATGAATGAGTTCTCGGAATCCTTAACTTTTATGGTTGAGATAAAAGAAAGTTGTACGATCGAGAGCAATAGGAGATAATTGCCTAGCGACAGGCTGTAGTGAGTGGCGTGACAGTTTCCTGGCTCAGTGGAGACGTCACGGCAGGCTGTGTATGTAGTCCCCATTGATCTGGTAACGGGTCGTCTTTGTAGACTATACCCGACGGCATGCTCCACAATCGAGTCATTTGTTATGTAAACCAAACAAAAAGTTGTAACGTTTACGTTAATGGTGTCTGCCGGCTTATCCGTTGAAACCAACCCACTTTTTTCCTATTGTCCATCTAGTCAATCGTCAATATGATTTTAACAAATATCTCTTGTTTCTATGCCACGTTCTGGGTATATGATAAAGGAGAGATTGAATGAACTGTATTGTAAAGATTTGTTTAATAGGTATTTATGGTTTACATAAACAGTTAAGCAGACTTTTTAGTGTTGCCGCGTATTTTTTTTAATATATTATATTAACAATAATATTGTCATTAATTATTATCAAAATTATTATCATTAATATATTTATGAACAATAGATATGTTTATACTTCAAATTTTTAATAAAGGTGTTTTGAACCCAACCTAATTAATATTATCCAAACGTATTTTTAGATTACATAGGAAGTCAAGTTCAAGGTCTAACAATGCGATTCATGAGAACCATAGTTCGGTTAATTCTGTTTTTTTTTTGTTTTGTTTTAAATATATATTTATTTATTTCGTAAGAAAAGGGATATGTTGGAGGAAGAAATGTCATTACTACTATAACGTAAGATTTTTCTATCGACTTAAAAAAACAAGAGGTTCTTAATTCAACGTTATTTCTTTATATTTAATTTTGTGTGTATATTTATGTTATACGATATCATAGGTCATTCAGAACTGTTTTAATGATTATTGTTTTGATGAAAATGTTATACCTATGTTGGCCTTATAATGATTTTTTAATATTGAAGTTGTACAACATAATTTTAAATAATTAAATAAAATTAAAAAATTTTAGAAATTTTTAGAATCATGATATGACAAAATAATGAACAACCATTTGTCTATCATATTGTTGCAACGTAACTTCTTATTTTTTTAAATCGTAGTGAAAAATTACGAAATGTGGAAAATTTACGAAGATGTTTGAATATTTGTTACTTAATTAGTGGTAAACGAGTGAAGAAATTAAGATAACATTTTGCATATGTTATTGCTATACTAGATATTTGTATTACATTAATAGGTTTCTGCAGTATAATCTTATAATCAAAATTCAAGCAGACGATGGAACTGCTATATAATAATAGTAAAGCCGGGTCTATTATCAATTTACTTTATGGATCGATAAAGTTTTAAAGAAATTAACGCATTATCAGCACTTTAATTTGTCCATTAGGTTGACGTAAATTATCTGTGGCGAACACTAGTAGGGGGCGTTCAACTCTAAGCACTACTGCAGTTATACAATATTGTCATTTTGAATAATGATGTGTCAATTTTTTATTATGTTTTAAAGATTAAAGTGTCTCTATATAGAAGTCCCCAGATGTATATCTTAGGACAACAATATTCAATACATCGTGTCATACCAATGCTACCACCGATCGATCAGACTTAAAACGATTATCGATTTGATCAATGAAAATAATATATCATTAAGTTCTATACTAGATAGATTATAAGATAGTTCTAGATAGTTCTATAAGGATCTATACTAGTCGTGTGTAATAATAAAAACCTAGTTATATGTTATCAAAAAATATGATATGTCTATTCTGTGGTTATATTGGTGGATATAAGCACAATTAGAAGTTATCATGTTTCCTATGCTCGTATAGTGATATGCATTTGAATCAAACTTGTCAAGTCCTCATTGGATAAATACATTGAAGGTTCCGTATATAAAATCCTTACCCTTACTAATATTATAAATGTGAAAGTGAGTTTGTTTGTTACCTTATAGCGAGTTAACGGCTTATCCAATCACTATGAAATTTGGTACACACGTACTATATGGGATGGAGAAGGGTATAGGCTGCTTTTTATTCCGGTCAGTAAACATATCCCGGTCACGCAGACTAAGTCGCGAAAAAGCTAGTAATCTATAAATAGGTATTTGTTTTATATTGCAATATAAGCGGGTTTCAATCTAAAATAATTTCAAATTTGAAATCGAGTAGTTACTGAGGAATAACGCTGTGACATATGAATGAACGGATGAAATTGCACTATATATTTGTACGTAATCTTGAAAATAATGGCACTAAATATCCGTCCTTAATATATTTTTGCCATTGATTTTAAACATACTTGGGCAACTATTATGATTAGGATAGACATAAATAATTATGATGTAATTTTGTTAGGACATTTATCGTAAAATTGTTACTAGTAATTTAACAAGTTACAAATGTAGTGGATTTTTTTTTCTTATTATTCTCCACTAACATTATGTTACGGGTAATTATATGTTTCCTAATTATTATTGATTGAACTTAATATAATTGAGATAATATCAGTTTATTAGTTTTTTTATTATATTTGGTTTTGATTTGTATGGTACTTAGGTGAATTTCATATACGTAGTTGTAAAAAAAACACAACCGAATTGAGAACCTCTTTCTGTTTGGAGTAGGTTGAAAACGCAGACAAATGTGCATCTACATCGAACTGTAGTGAATATGGCATATTGTACTACTGACATTCAAACTACAAAGCCAGCAGTTTCGTGATCAAAGGTCATCACCTTTCTTCACCTATGTGATAACTTTATATTTCACATATTGCCTTATAAAAAGTGAAATTATGGAAACAGTGTATTGTAGCTATGAGTATTCTTAAATTTGCAATGATTTGATATTTATATTCTTATTAATATTCAAAATCAAAATGAAAATAACAAAATACTGGTTTTCAAATTCAGATAAATTGAATTCGTGCTCGATTAATTAAATTACCTAGACTACTAATTAATACTACTCTATCTATTCATACAAGCAATACTCTTTTTCTTTACCTACCTTCTATAGCAAACTTGTAGGAATAAATATTAAATGTATTTACAATTATTTGTCAGTATTTTTGTTAATCCGACATAATGTTACTTTACGAAGTAGTAAGTATAAAATATTCCTTCCTTTATGTCATTTTTCATAAGCAAAAAGGACTCTTTGATGGGTCGACGTGATTTATTATGGGGTGCGGGATATATTTTGGGTCAAACCCTGTAAACCATCAAATTCTGATTTCTTTTTTATAAATCACACAAAAATTCGACATTGAACGCAATCTGTAGTCTCATCGTCGATTTTACAATTTTATTCAGAGTAAAAATTTTGAAAAAGTACCTAACGTTACTCTGCGAGTTAAATCGAGTGACATCGTAGCTTTCCGGTTTATCGAACATTAGGACGTGAACTTAAGCTTTATATTGAACTTATATCAAGTTTATACACTTTATATGAAACATTTAAGTGAGTAGGTATATATTATTTTATTTTTATGGATTAAATAAAGAAATTTTATCAATAACTGTTCCTTTTGTATATTGTGTTCCAATCATTTATATAATATATTTAAAAGAGTTACATTAATTCTGTTTAATGTTTCGAGTTATTTCTGGATCCGGCTACCTTATTTGCATAAGGGTTAGGCCGGCGATAATTGTGCGTGTGGCTTAGAATTTATATGACCTTTTTTTAGCAACAGAGTAAACTGAATTTGGAATTGAATCGATTGAAGAATGTTCGTATTATAAATATAATATGACTTAAATTGACATGAATAATAAATATTAATGCATTAATATATATTTCATCCTTTTCGGTGTTTTATTTAAGAAATTTTGGAAGAAAAATATAGTTCGGATTTTATATTTCGTATATACTATTATAAGTGGATAGGATGATATATGATATAATTGATAGGATTTCGTAGAATACTTTCATAATTGGATATTTTTTTCAAAGGTAATATGAAAATAATAAAATAAGCGCTTTTCATACTAAATAATTGTATTGATCACGTGCCATCGAGTATTTAATAGATTAAAAAAATTATTTATACTTTTATACTTGGAGATTTTTGGTTTTGTGAATGCTATCTAATAATCATGACGTTGTATGGTCATTCTAGTGATAATTGCGAAAAATTATACGTAATCATCATCATCTTCCTACCCTTATCCCAACCATTTGAGGTCGGCGTAATATGATTTTATCCATATTACAAAAAGATTTGGTTTTTAGTTTTACAACCGGCCTTTATACGTAATGTCTATAGAAATTTAATTTATTGCTTCAATATCTGTAAAGTGATAGGTATATTATCTTACAAATAAGTTTATTTATAAAATGCACGTTCTTAAAATAGTATAAGCTACCAATTATTGATACATTGACATATGTACAATTATTTCTATTAAAAGTACATTTTGTAATTCAAATTACATTATTAAAGTATAAATATTATATACATTATTTAAATATTTAATTCAACACAATCTACATTTTATTGTAAGTAAACGAAATTAATAAATTTATATTATTAATAATTGTATTATATCAGTAAGATTTATTATTATATAAAGGTAATTTGAACTTACCAAAAAGTATAGAGTAAGTCCCGGCCCCATGGCGCGGGAGTTGGCCCAGCCGGCCTCGTAATGTGGGTTCTAATCCCCGTGCAGGCAACACAAAGTTACACCGGCTATCAAGCACGGTTCGCGATAAATTTGCCAACGTGACCCGCTCTCTGCGGTCCGCTTTTAAAACTAAAATGTGCAAAGTCAAAGATGCGCCTCTTATATTACCTCTTACGTTAAGTCGGATACCGCAACTTATTTGGCATATATGTTTATATGTGTGTGGGTGACTTTTGGCACACACGTATATATTTGGCGACACATAAACCAAGTGATAATAACCTCGTCCCTGTGTGAGTGGTAACCAACACCATACACAACCATACAACCGCCATTATTTATTACGAGTTTAGCTTTTATTTTCAGTGCTTAGAAAAGATACACATCGAAAAGATTCTAAGGAAAGTAGTACATATAGTGATATTTTAGACACCTATCTAATAATAATAATAATTATGAAATGTTTGTAAGTATAATAAGCTACTCATATTGTCATAAGTTCCTACCTACTTATTATTCATACGGCGTTGACGTTATGTGATATGGATATTATATGAAATAAGTCTGAACACTCATGGTATGCTCTCTCGATGCTTATGGTATTAAATTACTTAAGAATGTGTACCTACATAGCAAATAATATATTTTTTTTTATATAACGCCTAAAGGTGTTAAAAATATATAAAAAAAAAATGGTACTTAAATGGAAGCATGTAGGGAAAACTATTACGCTTCTTTTTTTTTAAGTAATTCTTTAATTCTAATTATTCTAAATCAGACTAAAATTATTTTTTAGATTAAAGCAGCATGTTATATATTTGGCTTATATTTTTATACTTATATCTAATTCTATACCGATTTGAATGATTCTTTATATTTACAGAATAATTTTATTTTAATGTGAAAATTATAATAATTATTATATTAATTAAATAAACAAGAAAATTGTTACAACCGAAAGAGTTACACCCCGTAAAATACGAATGTCACTAACATAGATGAAGATAATTATTTATACAACGATTGATAGTGAACTCATCCTTTTTGCTTTCAATTTTTTTAAGAATACCTCCTGTAATATTTTGTCATCCTCTACACTTTTTCAACTTGAATTAATATAAGAATGCCTGTATTGATAGAAGAATGAATGACGGTAAAAGCATGATATCGAAAATGAAAATCCGATATAGTATAGTACTTGTAAAATAATATTATAAACAAAGTGTACATTTAAATAAAATTCCATACAATGTTAAATAATATACTACATATTTTTCTGAAATTATTTGAACAGAAAAAAGTAATTGCTAAGTTTCTTACCGGCTCATTTTAACAGAGAAAAAATAGCTCAACTACGCTGAATATACCTACTCTTCCATGTAATGTTCCATGTTTGCTGATAGAAATATCTTTTTAGAGATAAGTACGCCCTTGTACATTTACTACTCTATTAATATGTTATTTTTTCTGTGTCGAATTAAGAAAGGGGCTATAATCAAGCCAATTTTTATAACAACTTTTACGACGATTAATTAAAAACAGAAGCAACAATGTTTAAGCTTCTTCATATATATATATATATATATATATATATATATATATATATTTCCTTAAACAAAATTAGCTTATTGTACATTATAATTATGACCCCACACTAGGCAAAGCCAGTCTCGTGGAAGTCAAAGCAAGAAATTCAACAGTGGTGGTGCGGCGAACAGGGTTAATTTAAATATATATATATATATATATATATATATATATATATATATATATATATATATATATATATATATATATATATATTTAAATTAACCCTGTTCGCCGGCGACGATTACGTATTGCTGTCTATAAAGTAACTAAAACTAAACTATTAGGTTGTTTGCTATTTCAAGTAAGAAATAAAAATAATGAGTCTATTTATAAATCACGTAGTTTTAATAGATTGCATATCGTATCAGGGATATACATTTTTTTTAATTTATAATAATCGTAATAAACAATGCATAATTATAACAGGTGTAGTGGAAATGTTTATATTCGTATGTATTTCGCCATATACGTATATGTTTATGTTTAGTAACCTGTGTAAAAGAATGTTAGATACCAAACTATCATTTTGACGACAACATAATTATAATAAATAGTTCTATTGAACCTAGATTAAGCGGAAATAGAGGTGGTCGGGCCGTTCGGCGCAGACGCATAAATTAATACCTACCTGCCTGAACGGTTTTAGAGGTTGTTTAACTAAAATTTAGGCATATATATCTAAATATATAGCGATCGAATGTTGTCCACAAATAGTTGTTGTGTCATTATTTATAGTCTCGCGGCTTTGATTTAAACGAATCACACACATATTTATAGTAAGTTTTAATGAGAGACGAAACACATTAGATGTTTATCAAATATTCGGGGCCCTATAATTTATGAACTGTACTTTTTTAAGCGGTAACACATGACTTTGTTTAAATTGTTTTACACTACTTAAAGTTACACATGATTACATTTGATAGAAAATAGGTAATTGTAAAAGGAAATCGTAATTATAAATATCACAGAATAATTATCGCAAATTATGACTGCGTTTAGGATTTACTTTTAGAACTGAAACACGACTTTTTATATAACTTCGATTGGAAAACAAGCTGGAATATCATCTGATACAGAATGATAATCTTTTTTACAGATCTTAACGGCAACGTGGATTTTACACTATATTGTTATGTATTGTTGTTTTTAAGAACCAATATGTTGTCTCTATGTCCAGTATCTTTAATGCTTTATCTAACTGTTTAAGTGACACAAAACAATATTGTGATGATACTCATAAAATCACGCTGTAACAAGCTCTTATAGGAGCGCTCAATCACGGCGCTGAATTTTTTAATCTATACCCTTTATTATTATACAGAAGTTCGGTAATTTTTTCAAAATAATTTATCAATTGTAATTAAAATCATTGCGTTCGCATCTTGTACATACATTTAATTTTATATAAATTGTTAATACGTATAAAGTTTCTGCTTTATATATTAGTACATATATTAGATATGTATTTCATTATGGGTTCATCTTTGAGTTTCACTCCTGCCGGAGGTTTAATAATATTGGATTTGTTGAAAAGATTGTTTTCAGTAATAAAACCGCCTTACTGTACTTATAATTGTATTGTTACATTTATTATTTGTCTTGCTTATTTCCTTTATTGTATAATGCAAATAAAGTGTACATATTGAATCATTCAATCATATTAATAAACCAAATTTTTATTGTTGATGCTGCTGTTGGAAAGAACGAGGTTTCGCTGCAGCCAAATTCTCAGAAGTTCAACAGTCACGAGTGCCGCCTTGGATGATCGGTTAGGAAATACTGTTTTTCTTTTATTATATTTAAATTGATATTATAAAGAGATTATAAAGAGATGAAAAATACTTAACCGGTTTTGAAAATTGTTTCACCTATAAAAAACGGGCTATATTTTATTCACTAAAAATCATAGTTATTTACAGTATCTAATTGTATGCCGGGACATATTTCTAGTGAATATATAGTTATTATAAGTTAATAGGTCATGTCAACTTTTGTTTACACATTGCAATCAAAACTCTTAACTGATCAAAAGTTCTTTTGATCAAAATGACTTTTGATATGGGTAGTGCTATATTATTCACCTTGTTTTTTTACCTACTTCCGAGAAGGCAGAAGGTTTTGTATTTTAATAATAATATTTGAGTAAGTAACTTTCTTTCCGTGGGTTTTATAAGAGGCGGCTAAGGGAGGGCGAGGGATGAGCAGCAGCGTCTCTTTTAAAACATCTCTAAAGCCTACCTGCAATTGACAATCCGCCTGCCAAGCGTGGCAACTACTGGCAAAGCTCCCCCAATGGTGATGCTTACATTTAGCAGTGCATAGTTGATAGAAGTGGATAGAAGGCTGATATGATGATAATGATTTAAGTAATATATATTTACAAAATCGTTTATATCGTATGGCTATGTAAAGCTAAAAAGTCTAGAAAACTGAAATTTGGAACATATGTTTATTTTATAATATAAGCATCCGCTAAGAAAGTATTTTTGAAAATTTCGACTTAAAAGGGAAACACGATAAGATGTTTGTAAACTCGCTGACAACAACTAGTATTATTAAATATACTCTCGTTAAATTTATAAAAATAAGAAGATATAAGTCACAGAAATTCGACATCTAATATCAAATTTTAGTAATAAACGCTAATAAATTTTTGTCTGTTTATGGTTGCCATATATGTACACTTATGTGTTACAGCATTCTTTCAATTATGAGGAATCTAATGAAGTCGTTTTGGCTGTAACCCAAATGACCCGATGTGTTATAATAGATTCGGACATACGTACTACACAAACATACATAAAAAATAAAATTTCCTTTTCTTTGGTAATCAAGTAAAATCTTAATGGGTGAGTAGTTTTATTAAAGGAGCGAGCGCAGAGGCATGACAGGTATATATATGTATCTATATGTACCTACCGTTCCAAAAACTCTCAACATAATTTTGTTGGTTGTGATTTTAAACCATTTCTTTGATGCTGCTTAAGTAGATTATAATGTTGCCAAAACATAGTCATAAACTTTTCGAGCTGTAATTTACCGTCTCGCAAACACTCACGTATTTAATGGAATTGATACAAATTAGTATATCAAGGTTATAGCAGTATAAAATAAAGCTTAGGTAAGTTAAATTTGAACATAGAAAATATCTCTAAGCCTAATATTTAAAAAAAATGGGCGGATTAACATATTTACATTATACTTTATGAAATCATCTGTTTCAAGTTTTAAGCTAATGAAGTTTCTTACCTAGTAGATTTAAAAAGAAAGAAAAAAAGAAACTTTCGTACTACACCTGCTCCGAAAGTAACTACTTCTTCCGAAGCAGGGCAGGGTATAAATTATATTACCTGTTTTCTGATCTCTAGTAAAAAGTGTGTAAATGTATGTATGTAATAAAGATTTTTCAGTATGAATTAAAACTTATGATTAAATGTCAAAATTCGATACATAGAAGTGAATAAGTTTTAATTCCAAATTAAAATATTCACAACAGAGACAAAGTTATTAGTAGATAATTCATTCAGTTTAACGATATTAAGAGATCAGGTCTATGTCA